GGTAAACATGAGACAAAGTATATGTGAACTGCTGTATGGAAAGTGAATTTGCTCTGTAAATCTTCACCCAAATCACAATTAAGAAAAAAAATTATAAAAACTTTTAAAACAGGTAAAATAACATTATATATTGCTTAGGAATATATATATATATGCTGATTAGCAGTCAGATGGTTAGGCAATGACACACATAGTAAAAGTGTATTATTATCCAAACACTCTCTAATATTCCCACTGAAACATTCTAAACCCAGGGATTATCTGATTTTACAGTTGAGACAAGTAGGCCTATCCTGGAGCTCAGCACCAGCTCTTTGGTAATTAACTCTATAGAAGGCTGGCATTAAAAACAGAAAGGTAGCAGACAAAAAAAAAAAAAATTGTGGTAGTACAGGTTTCATGTCATTTCCCACTCCTGGTTTCAAGGCATTCTTAATGTTTGACTGTCTTCCCTCCTCTGAGCCAGGGACCCAGCTTATATTCCTTCAATCCAGGAAAAACGTAGAATCCTTCTTAATTCTTAAGAAGTATCTATATTTATAGCTGTACCTATGTAACAATATTTATAGCTACACCTATGTAACAATTACCATTTTATAAAAATCTTCAAAGGTGTAACAGCTTAATAAGTAAAGAAAAAGAATTCTCATTTTAAACTTACAGCTTCTCTGGGAGGAATCACTGGAGAAACAAAGCGAGGGGCACTCACTGGCTGTCTAGAATCATTTCCTTGATTTTTGTCATGTGATCTAAAAGATAAAATTAATTCTTAGCTAAAATAAATTAAAAATATTTCTACATGACTTATTACCCGTTTTCCCAAATACAGAATAATGATGTAGGTAGTGGTGGTGATGATGATCATATTGATAACTAAAATTTGTACAGCATTTTTTTTAATAGCTTTCACCCACTTTTAATCCTTACAGTACCAGAAAGTATGATTAACCCCATTTTACAATCAAGGAAACTGAAATTCTAACAAATTATGAAATTTGGTCGATTAGACAATCAGTATTTCCAAACTTCCCTCCTTAAGTCTTCCTAACTTTGGAGAAGAATAAAAGCATAATCTTAGGTTGCATGTACAAAATTTGAATTCACTGTGAAAATTATGTTACAAATTAAGGGTTTATCACATTAGAAAAATATTATATACTAAGTGAGAAATAAGTGTAATAAATGAGAAAGAAGCAAAGGTGAACAATTAAGGTATATATGGAAATCCTTATTTTAACAACAAAAACAACTACTTACTAAGTAGTTGCAATGCTATGGATTTTATATGTTAATATTTTCACATTTAGTCCTCACTTCAACCCTACAAAATAAGTACTATTAATATTCACCTTTCAGAAACAGAAAACCAGGGCTCAAAGAGGTTTATTTGTTCCTCCAGATCATATTTCTAGCAAATTACTAACCTAGAACTTTAATTCATATTTGAATACTGGGTCTGTGCTACATTCTAATGTCAACAAAATAGAATTGGTAGTTAAATCCATGAGAATAAATAAATGCATTATAGTCCAACACATATAATTGAAATGTCAGGTCTCTGAATTATGGCAGCTAAATCTAATCTAAAACTATTTCTTAAAAATTTGTAATCACAAAATGTGTTCAAAAGTAATATTTTAAAAATATTCCTCTTTGAGAACTGATACTTCAGATAAAGATATGGGAAAAAAATGTTTAAGCATTTATATTATGTATCTTTGTCCCATATTTTAATCTCTGATTGTTGCTGTTATTATTAGGAGCCATCAAGACAATTTTCAACTCATAGCAACCCCATGTGAAAGAGTAGAACTGCTCTGTAGCATTTAGTGCCTAAAGCATCTGACTGCTAACCAGAAGGCTGGCAGTTCAAACCCACCAGCACTCCTCGGAAGGAAGCTTGGGCAATCTACTTCCGTGGTGATACTGCCTTGGAAACCCAAGGAGGGGTCACTATGAGTCAGATCTGACTCGACGGCAGCGAGTGGAATGTTTACAGGAACAGATCACAGCTCTTTCACCCACAGAGCCACGGGGTGAATCTGAACTATTGACCTTTAGGTTTACAGCTGAGCGCTTAACCTTTGTGCCACTAACAAAAACATAAAAAAACAAACTCATTGCCATGGAGTGGATTCCAGGTCATAGCTATCTGATCAGACAAGGGTAGACCTGCTCTATAGGGCTTCCAAGGCTTTACTCTATGGAAGCAAACTGCCACATCTTTCTCCCCTGGAATGGCTAGAGGGTTCAAACTACCAACCTTCCAGTTAACAGCCAAGTACTTAATCACTATGCCACCAAACCAAACCAAAACCAAACTCACTGCCATCAAGTCAATTCTGACTCAGAGCCACCCCCACTGGGTTTCCAAGGCAGTAAATCTTTATGGAAGTGGATTGCCCAGTCTTCCTTCCATGGAGTGGCTGGTGGGTTTGAATCTTCTGGTTAGCAGTCAAATGCTTAGGCACCACACCATCAAAGCTCTTACTATGCCACCGAAAAAAACAAACTCACTGCTGTCACATCAAATCTGACACATAACAGCCCCTTCTTGGGTTTCAAAGGTGGTATTTCTATGGAAGGAGATTGCCCAGTCTTCCTTCTGAGGAGCAGCTGGTGGGTTTGAACCACCAGCCTTCTCGTTAGCAATCAAATGCCTTAGGCACTATGTTGTTGTTGTTGTTGTTGTTGTTATTTGACGTCCAGTCAGACCCGATTCATAGCAACCCCTCCTTGGGTTTCCGAGGCAGTATCTACGGAAGTAGATTGCCCAAGCTTCCTTCCGAGGAGTGGCTATTGGGTTTGAACCGCCAGCCCTCTGGTTAGCAGTCAACTGCCATAGGCACTATGCCACCAGAGCTCCTTAAGGCACTATGGGGCTCCTCAATTTCTAATTAGAAAGCCTAAATCAGAAGTCACAAAGCAAAATTTTACTTACTGATATCAGACAAAATGAACTTTAGGGCATTTTCAGTAGCACAGAAGCAGGTCACCATAATCCTTACCCCTTACCATCATAAGAGGTGGCCTGGTCACTACTACATTTTTTAGGTGTTGTCTTTTGCTGTCAAGTCAATTCTGACTCATGGTGACCCCATGTGTTACAGAGTACTGCTCCACAGAGTTTTCTTGGTTGTGATTTTTACAGAAGCAGATTACCAGACCTATTCTTCCACAGTGCCACTGGGTGGGTTCAAACTGCCAACCTTTTGGCTAACAGCCATGCAAAAACCATTTGCATCCCCTAGAAACCATCACTAAATGGAGCCCTGGTGATGCAGTAGTTAAATGCTCAGCTGTTAACTATAAGGTCAATTTCCCATAGGGGATAGGTATGGCAGTCTTCTTCTAAAAAGATCACAGCCTTGCAAACTCTATGGGACACACTCTACTTGGTCCTATTGGGTCACTATGAGTCAGAATCAATTCAATGGCAATGGATTTTTTAACAGGAGAAAACTTGACTACATCTAACCTCTGCCAAGCAGGTCAAAAGATAAGAGAGTGAATTTTATTTTTAAAGGATTACCAACCTCTATAATATTACTTTAAATTATTGAATATGAATTCAAAAGGAAAAAAATCTAAGTACTCATATGTTTGTGATCTCTTTTTTCTGAAGCATCTCTTCTGTAATTGATCTCTCTTGATGAAGACAAAAGCAGCAAATGCAATAAGGGGAACAATTAGGAAGAAGAACACCAGAAGTCCATCTCTCAGTGAAGTATTCTTTTCTAGAGAGAAAACATTTGTATTAAAGGTCATTAAATTTGATGTTATGTTACCTAAAATATACTAGGGCTTTATAAATGTTTTTACATTAATTTTTAATAGGTAATACATTCACATGGTTCATAAAGGAAAAGAAATTGAATATACTGAAAATTCTCACTCACACCTTCATCCCTGTCCACTCCATTTCTGCCTACCCAACCATAACCACTTTTATCAGTTTCTTATATAACCTTGCAGTATTTCCTTATGCAAATATAAGAACAAAGCATGTTTTGTCAACACTTCTCCTTCATAAAAAGTAGCTACACTATTTTACTATAACAAAAAAAAAAATGTAATAACAGCAAAAAAAAAAGCAGTTATACTATAAATGCTCTGGTGATATAGTAAGTAAGGCTGCTAACTAAAAGGTCAGAAGTTTGGTGGTTAAAACCCACCAGCTGCTCTGTGGGAGAAAGATGAGGCAGTCTATTTCTATAAAGATTCATAGCCTTGGAAATCCAGTGGAGGTTGCTGTAAGTCAGAATCAACTCAATGGCACTGGGTATATATACACATATATATATATATATCATTCCAAACCATACATAGAGGTCTTCATCATTTTGTAGACATCCATCACAAAGATGTTCTACAGTTTTATTTAACCAATATCCTACTGATAAGACATTTGTATTTTTCTAATCTTTTGCTACTATAAAAAAAATGCTGTCATGAATAACCTTGTATGTATGTTATATCATATGGGTACAGCCATGTCTAAAGGAATATTTCCATAAAGCATAATTGCTGAACTGTCAGTATTTTTAAAAGATACTGTAAAACTGTCCCCCATAGTGGAAGTTACAATTTAGCATCCTCATCAGCAATATACAAGAGGTCCCCCCACAGCCTCACTCATAAAATGTGTTATCAAACTTCTGTATTTTTGCCAATCTGATAGGTCAAAGGTTGTATCTTACATAATTTTAACTTGTATTATTTCTTCTTTTACACTCTGTGTTATCCTTTCATATTTATGAAAACTTTGTGTTTCTTTTGCTGATCAGTCGTTGGGACTAATTTTCTGTTAGGATGTTGGTTTTTTTCCATCTCAGTTTCTAGGAGCTCTTTATTTACTAGGGAGATTAGATTTTATCCAAGACATGAGTTGGAAATATTTTCCCCATATTTTATTGGTCTAACAGTGCTTTTCTCCATGTAGAAGTTGTTTATTTGTTTGTTTTTAAATGTAATTGAATTCATAAATCTTATTTTTATGGCTTCTGGATTTTAAGTCTTAGTATGACTTTTTTAATGTTGATTAACGTTAATTTTATCTGTCCTCTACTCTTTAAAGACAAAAATATAGTAGATATAAACAAGAGTGGTAAATTGTTAAAATTTTGTTCCTACCCAAGTTTGTTTGTAACCAAGTACCAAAAATATCTATTAAAAGTTGTGTAAAATTATATGAAACAACAATAATCCCAAAAATCAAAATATAAAAAGTTGATGCAGGCTTAAAATATCATTTTATATTTATCAACGAGGAGATAAAATTTAAATTAAAGATTCCACCACTGTCATGATTATGTTGAAATTGGTACATTCATGCTGTTAGCAGCATTTCACAACTGTATCATTCATTTGGAATTTTTATCAAGAACCATAAAAAGGAGTACATCCTTCAACCTAATTACCTTATACTAGCAATTCATCCTTCAAAAGATGTCAATATGGGGAAAAAAATATATATGCAATAATATGTCTGCTACAATGTTAACAGTTTGAGAGAGAGAACTTAAGAACTGCTTTACACAAGTCAGACCTGACTCATAGGGACCACCCCTCCTTGGGTTTCCGAGGCAGTATCACTACAGAAATAGATTGCCCAATCTTCCTTCCAAGAAGTGGCTGGTGGGTTTGAACCACCAACCTTCTGGTTAGCAGTCAAATGCCTTAGGCAGTACACCACTGGAGCTCCCAATGTTAACAGTGCATATCAAAAACTCAGAAACAATCTAAATATCGAATAATTAGGAAACACCTTAACTCAAGTTATGGCACATCCACCAGATTTAATAATGCATAGTTATTAAAATCTGTATTTCTGACTTCTATTTTCAGCCAGGATGGAATAACAGGAACCAGAACTATCCTCCAGCTAAAACAACTAGATAAAAAACAAAATATATAAAACAACAGTTCTTAAGACATTGAACATCAGGTAACAAAGAGTAACAAAGAACAATATTCCCAGTTTATTGCCTAGAGAAAGTTGAGAAACCATGATGTGGGGTGAGAAAACTCAAAGAGAGGCCCTAAATTGAGGTGATAGAACTGGCAGTTTGGAGAAGGTAAGGCAGCTAGAGTTCACTGAGCAAAATGCAGGAGGGGACAACGCTACACAGGGAGAGAACCACAGAGATCTGCAGAGAGCTTCTCTCAAATATTCAGCTAAGTACTGATCAATGAATACATATGAAGAAATAACAAGAGACTAGAAAAAGAACTGCCTATAAAGGACCAAAGAGAGTAATTCCCACAGCTCACATAGGAAGAGTGCCTATTCCTACCATTCACAGTGACATACTGGAAAACCTTAAAATAAATGCAGCATTGAGTACAATAAACAAATCACCTCTAGAGTAAATGCTGTCTAGGTCCTGCTTAACAGAGCTTAAAACTAAGACCCAAAAGGATTAAACTACATCCAAGAAATCCAATCATGCCAGAACACAGCTAGAAATATTCATAGAAATCAAGAAATTATCCAGTTCCCAACAAGTTAAAACTGACAATTTCTGGCAGCTAATTAAAAAAAAAGTTACCAGGAATCCAAAGAAGAAAATATAAGCCATAATGAGGAAAAATCAATCAGTCAAACCTGACCAGGAGATGACACAGATGGTAGAATAAGGACATTAAAACAGTTATTATAATTGTATTCCATATGCTCAAGAAAACAGAGGAAAGATTAAGTAACCAGATTAAGTGTGTTGTTGTTAGGTGCCGAAGAGTTGACTCCAACTCATAGTGACCCTATGTACAACAGAACACTTTGTCCAGTCCTGCGCCAGTCTCACAATACTTGCTATACCCGAGCCCATCTTTGCAGCCACTGTGTCAATCCATCTCTTGCTGAGGGCCGTCCCTTTTTTCACTGACCCTCCACTTTACTAAGCATGATATCCTTCTCCAGGGAATGGTCCCTTCTGACAACATGACCTAAGTAGACAAACTCAGGTCATTCTCGTTTCCAAGGAACATTCTGGCTATACTTCTTCCAGGACAGATTTGTTAGTTCTTCTGGCAGTCCATGGTACTTTCAGTACTCTTTGCCAACACAACTCAAAAACATCAACTCTTCTTTGGTCTTCCTTATTCATTGTCCAGCTTTCACATGCTGAGTAGCTGAGGCTATTGAAAATACCATGGCTTGGATTAGGCACATCTAAATCTTCAAAGAGACATCTTTGCATCTTAACACTTTAAAGAGCTCTTTTGCAGCAGATTTGCCCAATGCAATAGGTCATCTGACTTCCTGACTGCTACTTCCATGAGCGTTGATTGTGCAACCAAGTAATATGAAATTTTTGACAGCTTCAATATTTCTCCATTTATCATGGGGCTGCTTATTGGTCCAGTTGTGAGGATTTGTGCTTTCTTTATATTGAGGTGTAATCCATACTGCAGACTGTATTCTTCAATCTTCATCAGTAAGTACTTCAAGTCATCCTCATTTTCAGCAAGCGAAGTTGTGTTGTCAGTATATCACAGGTTGGTTATGAGTCTTCCTCCAATCCTGATGCCACATTCTTCTTCATATAGTCCAGCTTCTTGGATATTTGCTCAGGGTACAGATTGAATGAGTATGGTGAAAGGATACAACCCTGACGCACTCCCTTCCTGATTTTAAATCATGCAGTATCCCCTTCTTCTGTTTGAACAATAGCATCCCAGTCTATCTATAGGCTCCTCATGAGCACAATTAAGTGTTCCGGAATTCCCATTCTATCAACATTATCCATTAACTTGTTATGATCCACACAGTCAAATGATTTTGCATAGTCAATAAAACACAAGTAAACATCTTTCTGGTATTCTTTGCTTTCAGCCAAGATCCATCTTACATCAGCAAAGATATTAAGAAAAGATATTTTTAAATGACTCATTTGGAACATCTAGAAATTAATGCTACAATGTCTGAGATGAAAAATACACAGGATGGAATTAATGGTAGATTAGAAATGGTGGAAAAGAATAAACCTGGAGAATAGCAAAGTCTATTCCAAATTAAATATAGAAAATAAAACCCTAAAAATAGTGAAAGAGAATCAATGATATGTGGAAAAACTTCCAAATAGCTTAATGAACCTATAATTGGAGTCCCTAGAGGAGAAAAATATGAAGACAGAGAAAAATATTTTTATTAATAACAGCTAAAATTTAAAAAACTGGAAGAAAACTCCCAAAACCACAGATCCAAAAAGCTCAAGAATGTCAAGCACACCAAGGCAAACTATAATCAATTGCTTTAAACTAGGGATAAACAGAAAAATCTTAAAAACAGCTGTTGTTGTTGTTGTTGTTATGTGCCATCGAGTCAGACCTGACTCATAGCGACCCCTCCTTGGGTTTCCGAGGCAGTATCACTACAGAAGTAGATTGCCCCATCTTTCTTCCGAGTAAAAAGAGCTAGAAGGGAAAAAAAGACACATTTCATAAAGAAGACCAAAGAAAAGGACAATAGCACATTTCTCAGAAAAAAGAATGCAAACCAAAAGACAATGTAGTACCATCTCTGAAGAAATAAAAAGGGGGAGGGGAAACTGTTACCCTATAATTCTTTAACCAGTTAAATTATCTTTCAAAAAGAAAGGCAAATGAAGATTTTTTTCAGACATACAAAGTAGAAAGAATTTGCCACTGACAGACCTGCATTTTAAGAAATGAAAAAAGATGTCCTTCAAGCAGAAATTGAATGACATCAGATGGAAACTTGAATCCACACAAC